AACTGAGATTTCATTGGCGGTATGCTATACGTACCAAACCAACGTTCTTTTGACATCAAGCTTTTAGATACAGAAGATATCACAGAATGCATGAATTGGTATGGTCTAAAAGAAGTAAAAGACTTAARAAATTCATTCACTCTACTCGGAGAACAACTGTTTTTACTATTTCTAATATCAAATAATTCATCAAAATTAAAATAAAATTTATAGCTCAACGCCCCGTCCTATACCGGGTTACATTAAAAGTGAGTTTAAACATAAATCATCTAAACATTCGAAAATAACAATAATATAATTCTCTAGGCGAGAACCTTGCCCTTGTCCACCCTTGAACCTCTTGCACCTGAGATGCGTACTAGTAGTCAGTTTTACCAAGCTCAGTGAGTTCATGATTTTTGTGCACAATCGTACATATCTCATCATGCATAAAACACACAATAACCAAAATAAAATAATATGCACATTTGTTTCAAACTCTTATTTAAATAATAATGGGATATCTTAATTTCCCATCGCGTTAAGATCTAACTGTCATCGGCACTTTCCCGAGTTATACGGCTATCCATTGTCCGATCACCGATCCCTAGGATGTGGCATCCCTTATGACTTTTGACCCCTTCCCATAACCGACAAAAGTATTGACCCGTTTATAGCATGTTAATTAATGTTTAAGCACGCGTAAACAAAATAGCATGCAACCCACAATAATAATTTATATATATGTAATAAACCCATAAACATGTATATAAAAAGATAACGTAATGCTCAAATAATTTGTACATAAGCATGCATCTTAGTTAAAGTCTCATGAAGACTCACCTCTACGTATAGGTCGATTCTAGTCAACACTCAATCGATAACCTACAACTTCATACCATAATATTTAATTAATGGTTTAACCTCTCGAAAATCAACTGAAAGTCAACCTTGGTCAACCTCAAAGTACTGAACTATATAATTCTCATACTCTAATTAATCTTTATAATTAGACAATCCCATCGTCCCATCTAAAAACGTTTCAAATAATTCGAATATCCCAAACGACGTCACTAAAAATGATTATTAACTCATTTAATGATTTTCTCTCTAGGAAATAATCAAGTAAATAAATTTAATTATCTAAAATAAATTAATATATTAACCAAATAAAAGATTTAAATTAATATATCAATTAAATTAGACATTAAATTAATTAATTATAACCTAATTAATAACTAAATCCCTGATTAATAAAAACCCAATTAATGTAATTAAAGCCCATCATGGAGCACGAAAACATAGCCCATAGCTCGTCCCGGCCCATAATGTGTCGCCGGACTCCGTTCGACGAAAAAACATGAATTCGTCCATTTTCATGGTTTTCATTCGTTTCTCTCATTTTTTATTACTGATTTCAATGATTTTCTTTTTCTTTACAAAATAACACCATCAAAATATTTTTCAACCCTAGAAACAATAATCATGAATTTTCATGGATTATAGTCTCCGAATTTGAGGTTTAGACGTTTTTACGCGTTTTCGAGCCTAAAGTTTATCCAATCAAATTAACCCAATTTAACGTCGTTTTTCACCATTTGTTTGCATAAAATCATGATACTCGTTATTCAACATAAATTCATAGCCCTTAAAATCAAATAAATAACTCTTATTTCAAGTTTTCTTACTCCGCCGTTATAGTAGCGTTTTTCTCGAAATACGTGACATACGACTGTTATTGGCCTCTAAACTTATACCATTCGAAAGAACATTGAATCCAACCATACATAGAATATCGAATTTGATTAAGAAATGTACCCCCAATCGTTTTTCGTTCGAAGAAAGTCTACTCATTCGACTGTCGATTTCTTACTTGTTTCTTCACACCACTTCATCTTTTCTTCATCCTCTCTATGTATTTTTTTTCTTAACCTTTCAACACCCATGGCTCCTCCCCATAATGATGATTATGGAAGTGATTGAATGAGAAAGTTACCAAAAATGAATCGGTTTCTGTAATATTCGGGTTTCAAGTTTTGATTTTAAGATTTTTGAATATATATATATATATATATATATACGTGTGTGTGTGTGTGTGAAAGGATTGTATGAAAGTGTGTGAAGGTGATGAGGTGTGTGTATAGCCGACTTTTGTAAAAGACGGCCATACACTTTGCAAGGGTTTTTCGATTCCTAAGAGTTTTTTTCATACATTGAGAGAATAATTGCAGGATTCAATCCGCTCAACATTTTAAGGTGAGTATTAAAAGTTTTGAAGTATCAATTGTTTGTATAACAATTTAATTGCTTATAGATCTGGTTTGTTATTACATTATATATATGTTGTTCTTGTTGTGCGGATTTCATCCTAAATTGGAATAGTGATGTCCGGTATGCTATCTAAATCAGACAAGAGGTGTCCGGGAATTACCTTAAACCGACTAAGCTTTGACCGGATTTGTCCTAAACTGCCTAAGAGGCAACCGAATTTGTCCTAAACCGCCTAAGAGGCAACCGGATTCTTCTTAAACCGCCCAAGAGGCAACCGGATTTCCCATAAACCGGCCATGAGATGTTCGGATTTGGCTAAATCATTCAAACACAACACCAAGAGTTGTCCGGATTAGATCTCCGGACAAGGATGACCGGACTTCAAATCCAGCTAAAGTGTTTGTATTTTTATTACCAGTTTTGGTTTTAATGGCGGTGTAACCGCGAGAGAGATGAAATGACGGTGTAACCGCGAGATAGATGAAATGGCGGTGTAACTGCGAGAGAGATGAAATGGCGGTGTAACCGCGAGACAGATGAAATGGCGGTGTAACCGCAAGAGAGAACGGATCTGTGACAAATATAGATAAAATTCTTGTGTTTGTACATGTTTGATTCTAAACTACTAGTTTAGAAAGTATGTTATTTATGTACACTCACCAGACCTTTTGGGTCTAATACTCAGTTGTTGGACTAACATGTTTTGCAGGTCATCATACCTCGCAAGATAAAGGCAAGGAAAAGGTTTAGTAATTGATGAAATAAGTTACTCATAAATGTATTGAAGAAAGTTATTATTAACCCGTGTTTTGTAAACTATACTATATTTTATTTTATGAGAATATGTATGTGGATTATCTGTACATGAAAATTGTGGGTTGTTACAGTTTCCTTTCATTAAGTTTGGCATATTGACGAAACCAACCTTTTACTTCCTGCTTTGTCACATTTGTCTATAGATTAAATTAAAGTAGCAAATCAAATTTCAAAATTTTCCAACGATTATTATACTCAAAATTATTCATTGGCTTAACAAATGGTTGATGATCTCATTTCCATAATCATCACCCCATTTTCTCCACTTCCCAAATTATAAATATATTTTTAAAATTGAAAATATTTAAATTGATTTATTAAATCCTTTAATTAACTACCTTTTATTTTATTACAAATTGTCCCAAATTTTGCGGTGTTACTCAAATAGTCCATGCTAAAAATTCTGTATATTGGTTAAGAAGGTGGGAGAACAGAAAAAGAAAAAAAACCCAGCTACCTAGTGTTTAAATTTCGAGCTCCGACAATAGGGGTTTCGTTTTTCAAGCTCTAGTAACCAAGGTTTTCAATTTCTAGCTTCGTTGGTCCAGTCCCTTCACGACCCTCACCCTCCAAGCACCACCCCACGTCTCCATCTTTACATATCACCATCTTCAACAGATAAAGGTAGGACGTAGTGTAAGAGTGTGTCATGATGGTGGAGGTCGGTGACGTACAGAGAAGAGAGGGGTCATCATTGGTCTAAACCACTCACTGTTTGTGCATGAACAAATGCCGATGGATGGTTGTAGCCGACATGGTTGCGGGAGGAGACCCAAATTTGTTCTCCGCATGTGTTCCTCTTCGATTTGCTCTTTTCGTTTATTCTTTCGAAGAGATGAGTGAGGAAACGAGATTTGTTGGTAGGGAACTCAAGAAAGTTGCATGTGTTGGCGGGTAGAGGTGTCGTCAGAGATGTTTGGTAAGAGGTATGGAACGGTTCATTGTAGAAATGGGGGGAGGAGGGTACATTGTGTGTGTGTGTATATATTATAATTAAAATAAAAATAATTAAATTTCATTTTCTAGAAAAAATGACAGAAATTTGTAAAAAGTCTAAAATACCCGTCACTTGTTGGACTCTTCCAACAGCCTTAAAAGGTAGATCTGATCGTTTTTACATACCACAAAGGACAATTTGTAATTTTAAAACCGTAGAAGCTGAAAGTGTTAAAAACAACAAACCACGAGGACCAAATTTGTAGTTTACCCTAAAAAATCAATTTAAATCAAGTCAACGTGAGGGTCAGCTGATTGAGCGTGTGAATCTTCTAGAACCATCGTATAAGCTCCATTTCATGTTGCTTTTCCCATAAAAACTGCAAATCCCCAAGAAACTGAACGTCAAGCTTTCTTCGCTCTTGGGAATCCAACATTTAACGTCTTCTTTGACGCAATGGATCGAGGTAACAACGATCGTGGGGATTATGATGGCCGTGGCCGAGGCCGTGGTGGAGGCAGAGGAGTTGATTTTTCTGGCCGCGGAACAGGAGGTGACTCATTTCGTCGCGGACGTGGCGGAGGAAGAGGAGGTGACTTCTCTGGCCGTGGGCGTGGTGGTTACGGTGGTGGAAGAGGCAGAGGCTACCAGCACCCACCGCGACACCATCAGTACGGAGGAGGAAGAGGCAGAGGCTACCAGCACCCACCGCAACACCATCCGTACGGAGGAGGTAGGGTTTCGGAGGGCGGCGATGATGGAAGCCATCCGCGCAACCGATCGGCAGAGGATCGGATGGTATCAGTAGGGACATCGGCCGGCAATGTTGCACCTCAGACTCTCACTCAGATTCTCACTCAGATGCTTGGTAGCATTTCTGGTATGCAACTTTTTGGACCTTGAGGTGATATATCTGCTGGTATTTAAGGTCATCTTAGATCATTTTTTCGTGAAGACCAACATCTTTGATATTAAAGTTTCAAAGGGTCAAAATACACGGTTACGCTGGTCTTTGAACCCACTGCCACTACTACCAAATCAGTCGGAGGCCACCGCCTTTGATATTATGAGGTGTAGACTTGAGAAAAGCGGTGAGAGTACTTTGTATTGTGTGAATGTTAAGTTATTCTTTGTGAAGCTTATATGTTGTGACGGTGGTGAAGGGGAATGAAGGCGATCACCTACACAATATAGGGGTACCATTATATATATATATATATATATATATATATATAGCATATATATCATGTGAATGATACATTACAGACACATCTGACGAGAAAAATGCATTTCTCGCTAGAATCTAACTATTTATAGGTTTGGGTTCCAATTAGAGAACTTGATAACGCCTATTATCACATGTGATTTTAGAGGTTCGTGTGACCGAACTTGAATCACATGTAATATTTAGTCTAAAATCATATAAGATATAGGCATTCTCTTATATTGATCTTGCTCGCGTTTGAACTTGAGGTGAATACCAAGAATTTTATTATGAGTTTGAATGTACTTTCTGGAAAACAATAAGGAAAATGATATAAAACAGGAAGGTAAAACTGATGCTAATGCTTGAGAAATCTATGGAGCAAGAGAGAGTAGAATATTAAGGGGCCGTTTACCTAAACGATTACCCAATAAGCACTTACCGGTAAAATTCAACACTAACGCTTACTTACCGGGTAAGATTTTGTTCACTAAAACGCATCATATGCAACAATTTATCCCGGTAAGCGCTAACCATGGTAAGAGTTCTCGTTCTCACTTATCGGGTAAGACTCTTGATTTTTGCCTTCGCTCTTACCGGGTAAGATTTTAGTCTTTGCCATATTCATCCGATAAAGTAAAGTGACTTGGTAAGCGCTTACCGGAGTAAGCGCTTACCGGAGTAAGCGCTTACCGGAGAAAGCGTTTACCGGAGTAAGCGTTTGGGACCTAAGTACCATTTCAGCATTATGAGCTGTAATATGACTGCTCAAAAATTATTAACATAAAATTGAAAGTAAATACTTTCTGTATAGAATTATCAAGAAGATCTTTGATGTTATCAGGTAAAATCAATGTTAAATATATCCCGCAATTCTAGAATTTTATTTAGTCATCAAGAATCCAGTATATTATAAGTTCGTATATAGTAACAATTAACATATAAACAGAAAGGATTAGGACTTGAAAATCAAAATTGATGATAAGCAGAAGAAATTTAAGTAGATCTTCTTTCATGCTTGTAGTCTAGTTTGTTTGTGTTTGTGCCTTGTTGTTTCATTTATTTATTATTTTATAAGCAATGGTCTAATTTGGATAGTATTTGTATCCATAGAGTAATATTTGTGACATGGAGTCTAGTTCTTTTCTTGGATGAGGTTGAATGCATTACTTAAGTTCATGAAATCAACTGTATGATGAAATCTTGATAAAGTCTGTCTATTTGAGTAACTTGTTTTTTAATCCCAAAGGCTTGCACATTGCACATTTCTGTTATTTCTTCTGATGTAAGAACTGTCACCTGATACTAAGACCAACTTTTTCTTTTACCATCATTGGATCTTCAAGTTCAGGAGGTTCCAAAAGCACGTCAACCTTCAAAGGGTAGCGTTGAAAATGCATTTAATCCGGTTAGGCGCCCAGACCGCGGTGGTACACTTGCATTGAGGACGGTAAAGCTTCTTGTCAACCATTTTCCTGTCTCATTCAATCCATCAAACACCCTACTACACTACGATGTAGAAGTCAAACGAGAGGGGTCTTGTGACAATCAGTCGGTTAAAAGGTCCATAACAAAGGATGATCTCCGTTTAATCAGGGAGAAATTATGTTCTGAGAGACCTGATTTATTCCCATTACTGAAAACTGCCTATGATGGCGAGAAGAATATTTTCAGTGCAGTTCGGTTGCCGGTAGGGACCTATAAGGTCCAATTATCTGATGGTGGTGTTACTAATGGCCGAACATATGAATTCACCATCAAATTTGTGAATGAGGTAAGGCTGTCGATGCTAAAAGACTACTTGAGCGGGAAATTTTTGCAAATTCCTCGTGTTGTGTTACAGGGAATGGACTTAGTAATGAAGGAAAATCTTTATTCTCACAAGATCTCGATTGGGAAGGGTGGTAGGGGGTTCTATCCTAGAGTGTTTGAAAAGGGGGATGATCTTTATTGTGGTGTTGCGGCATTTAAAGGTTTCCAGCAGAGTTTAAAGCCAACCTCCAATGGGTTAGCAATGTGTTTGGACTACTCTGTTTTGGCATTTCGCAAACGGATGCCTGTTATTGACTTTCTTAAGGAACGTATTCCCAGCTTTCAAGGAGTTGGTGACGTTCGTAGGCTACAGAGGGAAGTTACAGATGAATTGAAGGGCTTGAAGGTAACTGTGACTCATCGTCGTACCAAACAGAAATACACTATTGCTGGATTGAGTGATGAAATCACAAGGAATATCTTATTTGAGCAAGAAGACCCCAAGGGCAAAGAAGAACCAAAAACCGTCATGCTTTTGGCTTACTTTCAGGAGAAATGGGGCAAAGAAATACAATACAAAGATATTCCTTGTTTGCAGTTGGGAAGGGGTAAAAAGCCAAACAGTGTTCCAATGGAGTTTTGCGTGTTGGTTGAGGGTCAAAGATGTTCCAAGGAGGAACTGAGTAAGGAAGCCAACAAGAAACTAAGGGGCTTGTCGCTTATTCCTGCAAGGCAGAGAAGGACCGAGATACAAAGAATGGTTCAAGAGGAATATGGACCTCATGCCTCTAGGTATGTAGTATCTTTCACCCGTCATTTTTTTAGTAATCGTAAAACTGATGCTATATTTTATATCCGGCAAGTAAATGCTCAAATAGAAGCAGAATTAAAGTAAAAAAATCCAAGCGTAGAAACAACCCAAGAAAACATACGACAGACATGCGTTAACCCGCCAATTAAGATGAGTGATTCAACTAGATAAGCAGAAAATGTGATTCAATTAAGATGAGTGATTCAACTAGATAAGCAAGCAAATGAGAACTTAGCGGTTGTTTGGTTGGTTTTTCATTAAGTCCTATATAAAGATATGCCGACTGTTAAGTCCTGTATAGATAATGTTGACTCTGTTTATCAACTGGAAGGGGCATGTTTGGAAGAAAAAAACTTGGCTTTCTGCATAAAGCTCTCTCTAGAAGCTTACTGATAAACCACCTGCTATATCGTTAAGCAATTACCAAACAGTCATGTTTTCATTGCTGGTGTTCTCAGAAATCCCAATAAGCATGGTTGAAGTTGATTATGTTCATATTAGATTGATTTAGATTGCTGGTATCTTGTTTCTGATGTGTATTATGTGTTTAACAGGGATCGCGTCATTCAAAATTTTGAATTTGGGATTGGCATGAGCATGACAGAAGTCTCTGGCAGAGTGATGCCACCACCTAATTTGAAGGTTGGTTCCTCAAACGGCAGGATGCAGTCTATGGAAGTCGACAAGCTTAAATGTCAATGGAATCTTCTTGGGGGGAAAACTGTAGTCGAGGGAAAAGCAGCCGAGTGTTGGGCCTTGATCGATTTCAGTGCCGGCAAATGTAATACAGATTATTTTATTGACAAATTGATGAATCGATGCAGAAGCCTCGGTGTAGGCATGGAGGATCCTCTAGTGGTCCGTCTCTCTAATATGAGAGAACTGTCTAGTGTTGATGGGCTTTTTCGTCTTCTTTCAAACATAGTTGAAGAGGCTGATCGGAGATGCAAAGGGAAATTGCAAATTATCATTTGTGTGATGGCTTCCAGGGATGAAGGTTATAAGTCTCTGAAATGGGTCTCCGAGACAAGGATCGGGGTGGTGACTCAGTGCTGCTTGTCTACTGAAATCAACAAAGCAAATGATCAGTACTTTGCGAACCTTGGTTTGAAGATTAATGCCAAGCTCGGAGGTAGTAATGTTGAGCTTGTTAAAAGATTCAGTTGTTTCTCGGACGAGGATCACGTTATGTTTATCGGTGCCGACGTAAATCATCCTGCTGCATCCAACAAAACGTCCCCATCCATAGCTGCTGTTGTGGCTTCTGTTAACTGGCCTGCTGCAACCCGCTATGCTGCCCGTGTCTCCCCGCAGTTTCACCGACAAGAGGAGATTGAAAACTTGGGGAAAATGTGTTTGGATCTGATCAAAACTTACGAACAGGTGAATCGGCGTAAACCCAACAAGATCATTGTGTTTCGTGATGGTGTAAGTGACGGCCAATTCTATATGGTTCTCAACAACGAACTGGTCGATCTGAAATTGGCCATTTACGACGAAGATTACAAGCCATCGATCACGCTCGTAGTTGCACAGAAACGGCACACGACTCGTTTATTTCCAAAAACGGAGAGGGATGGGGTGCACCCTGGGAACATACCTCCAGGGACAGTTGTAGATGAAGGTATCATCCATCCTTTGGAGTTCGATTTCTATCTCAACAGTCATTTTGGAGGGCTGGGAACGAGTAAGCCGACACATTACTCGGTGCTGTGGGATGAGAATGGGTTCTCGTCTGATACGATGCAGGAGCTGATCTACTATCTGTGTTACACGTATGCACGGTGCACGAAACCCGTATCTCTCGTGACCCCAGTGTACTATGCGGATCTGGTTGCGTACAGAGGTCGTATGTTTCAAGAAGTGGCGGCACAACTTCCAGCGTTAGCGGCATCGGGTGGTTGGTACAATAATCAGGCGTTTTATAATCTGGAACCAGGGCTGAAGGATTGCATGTTCTTTGTGTGAAGGGAAGGAATGAGTTTGTGCGGGAATCTAATTCGTTTTTGTGTCTTCAGTTATCATTCCCTTGCTCCTTTAAACAGATATTATCTTATCTAATGCATAAGTTTTTTTTAACTGGAGATTAAATCCCTAAGTGGCCATGTGTTTACTGTTAAGATTTTCGATTGTTCCTATGATTCCTACCAAAGAAGTCATTTAATAAGTGAGGGTTTGGTAAATGTCGGTCTCTTTGGTTGGTACTGGTTTTTCATTACGTTTTATATGTATGTGTACATATTTATCCTATTCTCGTATGCATACATTGTCCTACAAAAATAATATATATCCAGATACCCTTACATACACATAGAGTCCAGTCTTATTACATGATTATGGTTATACTGGAGGTAGCACGTGGTTCAGTGTCCCTTGAGTGCCCGCCCTAGTAGCTAAGAAAAAAGTTGGTCTTTTAACTGATTGTGATCTAACAACTAGTATTGATCGAGTTTAACTAGCCTTGATCGAGCTTGATTTTGTTTTGTTTTGTTGTTCTCAAGTTAACTATTGCTTTCCTCAAAGTAAAACCGGACAAACCTTCATAAATTGAGTTTTAATCCACAACACGATCGTGGATTAAGCCTGATATCCTTAACCATTCGTTTTTTAATCGATCCTTATGTTTGAAATTCTCAACTTAATCAAATCCAAATACTTGAACCGACAGATCCTTGATGGTCCAATTCTCATATCTATTATACATTTCTTCTACTTCTAGTATGTAATAAATGTTATCTTGATAATAAAAGATTACACACAAATTCACATGAGTCATCTAATGCTTGTTAATCACCTGTAGGGTCAAGAACTTCATTTGGGTTTGGTCTTAAATCAATCTTGATCATCAAGTTTGGATTCAAACCGGTTATTTAATCCCGAACCAGTCTTGTTTAATCTTTTAACTATAGAATATATATATATATATATATATATATATATATATGATAAGTAAAATCTAAAACTTAACAAATTATATTTTTATAATGTCTCTCAAACTAGCCATGGTGAAAGGCAAATGTATTTCTACAACTTCAAAAATCAAAAAGCTACAAAAATAAATAGTCTGTTTTTTTAGCAACCGGTTTGATTGGGCCTATGAATGGGTTGGGCCTTGGGACTAACTAGGGCACGTGACCTTGCAATAATTATAGGATTGATTGGGCTTTTAGCCTTGCTTGAGGCCCAACTACAATTCTTTTATAACCGATACTAGTCGAGTCGAGTTGGTCTTAAATCAGTCCCGATCCTTGACCCATTCGTACATCCCTACATATAACAACAAAATAAAGAGATATCTCAGTAGAATGGTCAAAAAATCATTTTATTGATAGTCTGAAAGTCAAAAAACTGGGAACCATGAATCCTAATGTACGTTATATTTGATGTCTTTTTCTAAAAAGATTCCAAAATCATGCCCCGAAAGTCTAAAGACGTTATAAAAGAATTCATTTTGTGTGGATACGAGCATTAATTGCATGACAAAAAAAGCTCAACAACTTAATTTGAAAATAGAAATGAATGCTTGGAAGTAGAAATGGAAAATGATAAAGAAAACTCCAAATACACACCACAAGATGTCCCTTTTGGCTTTAAACTATGACAACCTCATTACCATTTTCTCATAGCCACAAAGTTAAACTAAAATAGTACCATCATCAATTATGTATAGGGCATAATTAAATAATATATATATATATATATGAGAACTGTGAGAACCTTAAAATTTTTTATCTTAATGTATTAATTGTGAGAAGGTTGTTTAATATTTTGTAAAAGTGGTAATATTATAAACTTGAAGGTGTACCTTCAGTGGTTAATATAAAGGCGGCCATCTTTACACGTCTTACCATAATATTAAGGTACTTTTGGATTTGGATGGGTTTTTCATTTCTTTTTTAGGGTTTTCTCCGAAAAGGATAACCAAAGAACTACTAAAAAAAAGATGAAAATGTATATCAATATGGATATTACATTAATAAGAAAAAAAGAGGGGGGGGGGGGGGAGTGAGGGATAACTTATAATTAGAATTGATGTAATCATCTTGTCATACACGTTAAATTATTTTAATCTAACGCTTTCGATAGGTTTTTCGGGGTTTTCCGGTTCTTTTTGTCTTTTCATATGTGTGTGTGTGAGAGAGAGAGAGAGAGTGTGTGTGTGAGAGAGAAATTGATTGAAATGTATTGTATCATGAATGAACCTTATGGATTACATAGAGATAAATAAAAGACTGATTTTGATTTATTAAAAGGGAAAGTTTAGAAAAATCCAACCAAGTATTCCATTTTAAATGGTGAAGTCATTGAACTATTCTTTAAATGAAAATATAATTAAACTTTATTATTTTGAATGATTAAGTCCAGAACTATTTTCTTGAATGAAAAAACTATTAACTTTTCTCATTTTGAATGATCAAGTCTCTGAACATTTTTTTTACAATAAAATAAACTACCGAACTTTTAGAAATTGGTTACTTACATCATTTTAAAAAAATCTATATGTAACTGATTAGAAAAATCTTAATGTAAAAAAGAAACCTAAATCAATTTCACCGTTCTCAAACCTTACGTCATTTCAAACCCCATGCGAACACCGGTAACACCCCCCTCACCACTCTTCGTCGGCCCATCGTCGTCCGTTCTCTATATTGCCTATCACTTTGTTCTCCCCCACCATCGGTCTCCCTCTTTTTGATATGTTTTTTTTATCTTTTGATGGATAAAAATAGATCAAAAAGAGGGAGATCGATGGCAGGGGCCAACAATGTGATATATGATATGAAGAACGGACAACGATGAGATAACAGAGAGTGGCCAGGGGGAGTGAGATTGTTGGGACTAAAATAGCCCCAAGTTTATGAAAGCTTTATAAAAGCAATATCTTGTATATGCACAATGGGCTTTCATGTAAATGACCCTATAAATATGAGTCATGGGCTTAGATTTTATAGTTGTTCATTCTTGTTAGTTTCACATGAGAGTCGTCTAAAGTCATTAAGAGAGTTCTATTATAATTTCTATTTTCTTCAATAATGGAATCTGACCGGTTCTTCAATCTCATCTCTTAATTACATCTTTTATCTTGATTTGTTGTATGATCTGGGATTCGTAATTGATATCGGAGCATTATCGGTCATTTTTCAATACGATCAATATTTCTGCAGCAGATTCAAGTGAAATTTTTCTGTTTTTATCAATGAAACAGTGCTCAACATGAACAAGCTTCATGTTCGACTGTTTTGGGATTAAATTGATCAATAGACCATGTTTTTGAATGTTCTAATCAAGTTCGTGCAAAAGGATTTGTTTTCTGGTGAATTTGAACACCTTTCAATCATCAATTTGGACTTAATTTGATGAATTTTGGATTTCTTGATGATTTGGTCGAACTTTTGGACTTAAACTACCAGATTTTGTTTCATCGCTCGTTGAATATGTGCTTTGAGCGACATATGTGATGAATATCTCCCAATGAAGATATGAAGCTAAGTTAAGCGATATCTTGAATTAATCAACCATTAAAATATGTTGGTAACTTGGTGTTTTGAAACTGCATTTGAGCGATATATTTGGACTTAGCAAAATTTTGCATGTTTTGAGTGATATTCGTGTTCATTGCCCAAAGCATTGCCCAATAACTATGTAAATCGTCTAAGTCATGAGCTTTTTTTGGAGTAAATCGCTCAATGTGCTGAGCGATAAATGAGTTTATCGCCCAAGAGCTAAACGGTATCCATTTCTTGTGCCTTGAAGTTTAAATCGCTCATGGTATCAGCGATATCCTTTGTTGAGTGATGACCTACTAAGTGGATCATTTGGTGGGCGATAACCATATGTTTAGCAGTTTGCCTTGTTATTCAATCATTAAGCGATAAAGTGTTGCCCGATATACTTATAATCCGCTCAAGCCTCAAGCGTGTACATTCTTTGTTGAGCAATAAAAGGAAGTTTGAGTATATCGCCCAAGGCATGGGCGATATACACTGTTTATCGAGTATACCACCCAAGGCGTAGGCGATATACATGTTTCATGGGGTTATCTGCCTAAGGCTTGAGCGATTTAAAAGGAATTCTTATATTCATCGCTCATATTTGAGTACCGTTGGTCCCGTTAGGGTCTACAAGATGTGTACAACAGTTTGTAGAAGGGGGGGGGGGATGAATACAAACACAAAAAACTTTTCAAATTTAAAATATATATATATTGATAAGGAAGGATCAATACAGATTTTACAAGATTGTTCGCAGAAAGATAAGTCAAATAAACCTATCTAAACAATCTAAAGTTACACACTAATTCTTAGCAAATAAAGAAAAGATTTGTTGTTAAAGACTTAGAGGAAAGTAAGTTCTATCTGGGAAATAACTTGTTTAGAATACAACAAAGAAATTCTAACTTGCTCTTGAAGATGAGCGTATGTTCTTAGATGTATATTTTCTTTTACTTAAGCGTAAGTAAGTTCAGAGTGAGGGTAAGAGTATCTCTGCATGGAGATAGAACACATCTATTTATATCGATTGCATTGAACATTTAATGCAACATGGTAGGGTTAGAACGCGTGTCAAGTCTTAAAGGGAAGCCTTGTCCTTTGCTACAATGAATAGTACAAAATTCTATTCATGAGCAGACATCCTTTCACAAAGTTGGTGGGTAATAGAGTCAACTAATAGGCTCCATACCGTACTAACGTTTAGAAAGGGTATGGGTTTGTCCTTTGTGTGTGCAAGGACAAGACAAAAACAATCATGCTCAACAAGTTTCTTTTGATCGCTGAATGCTGGAATAACCTGAAGGTCTCTTCAGCATTCGCTGAKGCTTGGGCAGTCTTCACACATATGTAGACAAGGTTGTAATCACCGAATACCGCTTCAGATCACGTACTCGCTAGTCTCTAATCTTCAGTTTCAGTCTTCGTCTTTTGCTGAAGGTTCTTTGGTGTGAGTGTTATCTTCTTGAATTATTGTTGTCGCTGATAGGATTTACAATACAAGTTTTTCAGTGATCACTGAACAGACTCAGTGATGATCGCTGGAACTGAAAACAGAAACATAAATACTTCGTATAGGGTAAAAGGGATTATCATCAAATCAATTAGAGAGAAGATCAACAATATCCCCCTATTTGATGATAACAAGATACATTTATCTAACTGTTTAATCTGGAGACCTAAAAAGAAGGTTAGTTCTCC